TGGGGGTGGGTGTGTTAGAGACAGTGCGATTGGCACAGGACAGAGCAGAGTTTAGGGCTGTTGTACATAGGGTTGCTATGAGTCGCAAGAGACTCGATGGCACATAACAACAACAGCAGGGATAATACTTTTTCATCTTGTGCTCATTTATTCCTTACAAAAACTTTTTGGGGTTGGCACAGTTAACCATTTTATGAGGAAACCTAAACTTACACAGTTTCTAAGTTCCAGATTCAGAATTCAAAATTAGGTCTTTCTGAGTCTAGAGAAAATTTTACTGCGTATGACACTACTTTTTATAAACTTCTCTTTTACTGGTCAAGTGTTTCTGTGACTTTAATTCCAGTAGCAATTACTGTTTGAATTGTCTTCATAGTATAGAAACTAAGCATATTTTCCTTTTGCTGTTGTTAGGTGCTATCAAATCATCGATCACTCATAGCAGCCCTGTGAACAACAGATCTGTACCTTGTCCTTTCCTGCACTACCCTCACAATCTCTGATAAGTTTGAGCCCATTGTTATAGTTACTGGATCAGTCTGTCTTGTGGGAGGTCTTTCTGTCTTTTCTCTGACCCTTCACCTTTTAGAAGGACTCGCCCCTTCTGATAACATGCTAAAAGTATGTTAAATGGGTTTCAGCATCCTTGCCTCTGAGGAGCACCCTGATTGAACTTCTTCCAAAATAGTTTGTTCCTTCGGCAGTCTGGTTGAAGATCTTCTTCTCCTTTGCCGACCCTCCATCCTTGCCAGCATCATGTCCTTCTTCAAGGAATAGCTCCTCCTAGCAACATGCCCAAAATATGTGAGGCAAAGCATCATCATTCTTGCCTCCAAAGAGCACTCTGGCTGCATCTTCTTCAAGACGTATCTGTTTGTTCTTTTGGCCATCCATGGAGTGTTCAGTGCTCTTCTCCAACACCACAGCTCAAAAGCGTCAGTTCTTTTCCTGTGATTCTTATTCATCGTCCAGCTCTCAGATGCATGTTGTTGTTGTTATGTGCCATCGAGTCGCTTGCGACTCATAGCAACCCTATGTACAACAGCCCTGAACTCTGCTCTGTCCTATGCCAATCGCACTGTCTCTGACATACCCACCCCCATTACCCCTGACATACCCACCCCCATTACCCCAGTCACTGAATCAATCCACCTCATAGAGGGCCTGCCCCTCCTGCGCTGTCCCTCCACCCTCCCAAGCATGATGCCCTTCTCGAAGGACCGGTCTCTCCTTACATGTCCAAAGTATGTTAGATGGAGCCTCAGAATCCTTGCCTCCAA